TAAAGTGTGATCAGAAAATGATGGCATCGTATATTTGGGCTTTTTGGGATTTTAAAAAAGAAAAGAATGCGTTGGAAAGACAGGTACGTGGTCGTTGATGCTTGTTCGTGTATCAGTATTTGACAAGGGAAAATATAACTTTTGATCAGCAATTAGTTAAACTATTACTATACTGTAAGAGAAATTAAGGACCAAACCTACTTAATATGATCAAATATGCTTGTCATTTCTGGAGAGAGGAAGTAGTATTGAGTTGTTCTTTCACTTGGTACTTTGGTAAGTTTTTTTGTAGCGTGTTTTGTTGACAGAGGTTTATCAGCTATATTGTCTTGTCGTGTGATGATGTGCTTGTGCTATGCAATAATGCAAATGATGAAATGGCAAGTGAGAATCGTAGGTGCACTTCTTGGCCGGGCCAAAACAAAACCTTGGTAGGCTCAAGCTCATGATAATAATAATCAGATAAAATACGAGTGCTACAAATGCCGATCACCCGGAACTTCCGGTGCATAGATTTCTCTTTCTCGTCTTGTAATAAAAAAATGTGAAGTGCTTGGGTCGGCCAAGAACAAAGGTGAGTGTGAAATGAATGCGATGCTCTCTGCCATTTGTGTGTCGTCTGGCCATGGCCCCCACGAACCCAGGGCCGTGCCCCATGCATGTGCAAGACGTGCGAATCAGCGAATGTACGGGGCGTCCCATTCGTAGGACTGTACGGGGCGTCCCACTCGTAGGACTCAAAAATTATGGCTCAACTCTATAGGATTCGCTGCCAACATTGCGTCTCTTCTTAGTGGCATTACAAAATCCATCTAGCCTGTATCGGCCCGTCGCCCCATCTAAGCGGCTCCATATTGCCAATCAAGCAAACCGATGCCGAGTGACTGAATCGCCATCCGCACATGACTTAAGAGTGGAGGCTACCAAGGGTTGAATATGTACCATTCTTGATTTATCACAATGCTATATACATGCTATTATTGTTCTATTTATCTAGGCTGGTAGGGCCTATTTTAGAGTTTGGAACAAGGCCCTGGATTTTACCGGCTCGGCCCTGCATGAACCAGTACATACAACAAAGACAGGACTGAACAAAGATGTCTACCAGCGAATGGATTGCACGCATCCACGCAAGAATAAAATGAAATACCATCTGGTTATCTTTCTGAAAAAAAATATAAGTGTATGCCTCTTCGAGTTTTCATGACAGTATGATAGTATATATATCCTGATGGCCGTATTCTACACTCGTCCATGTTCGCCTCCTCAACATGTACTGCTGTTCCAATAACCAGAAGACGTTTTTGGAACCATCAACCATGCATCATCTCGATCCCATGTTCTAGACAGCCATGAACATCGCCTGTAGCCCTGTACTGTCCGGCATGTTAACCTAGCTCCGTCTCGGCTGCGCCCTCCTGGTCTTATTACTGGGATCTGGTAGACTTGAAGGAGTCAACTTCCGAAGCGAGGCGTGCAACATCATCACTGCAGTACACAGTCATAGCACACCGTGTTGCTCCGAGAACCAGGGGAAATGACAAGGAATGGGACAGAGCCTGGAGGTCACTTACATGCATAGCTCAATCCGATGGCATACACGAGAGCAAACTGTAGGTTGCAGACGTACAGTAGTACAGCAGTAGCTGTTATAAGAAACAAAACAACTAGTCATTAGTCATAACAATATGACAGGCGTGATTCATGAAACGCAGGAATTTCATAAGATTCATACAGGAATTTCACAGGAATTAGTTCATTTTCACATGAAAAACGTAGGAAACGTGAAAAATTCCAGCGTCCCAAATGGGGCATAAAGCTGATTCAAAAGGGACAAAACCTTAAAAGCTGAAAAGTGCAACATTAGGGTGAAAAACCAACAGAAGACCTAGCACCGTGTTGAACAAAAGTTTGAAGTATCCCAAATCATGCCTTAACATAGAACAATTACAAGTCATGAGCGGAATGTGTGGTCACAAGCATATAGTACAGAAACTTGTATACTCCGCTCTATTTCCTAGCAGTAAAAAAAACATATACAGGAAAAAAAGGATATACAAAAAAAACTGACACCAGTAACAGCCAGGTTACCAGTGGCTACCATTTTCCCTTACAGAAATATTGCAATGAGAATCTAAAGCCTGTCAGGCCAATATTTCCTATCATTTCCCCCTAAAGGCATGGTTAGCCAGAGTAACTAGCAGGTTATCCCTGGTTCCACCAGTTATTTCTGGTGGTATGGAACAGGTTACTGGCAAGACCCAGCCAGAAGATGTCTGCAGGATGCTAGTGAGTGGACTCTTGGTACACTCAGAGAAAAAAAGAGCGCTTGTGAGTTCGTTGCTATCCCAAAGCAGTGGGAAAAAAGGTCTACCTGCCAAGCTATTATAGATTTCCACCCAATTCAATTCAAAAACACTAGAATATTCATACCATAACAGTTTCTGTAACATTGCACAAACAAAGTTACTTATGCTACAGTTAAAGTTATTTAAGAAAATACAAAATTGCAAAGTTGTGAAAGAAGACCAAAGTTCAGCTAGGCGCTAGGCGGAATCTAGGCGCTGACCCATTGCCTAGCGCCTAGTCGGGAGTACTCGGTCCTAGGCGCTCCTAGGCGTTTTGGCAATATAGCCATAAATTATATATATATTATGTATATAACTATATATATGTATATAACTACTATATATGAGTCACAGACTCACAGTAAGTATAAAAAGAGGGCCAATAGACATATCTGATTCCTAGCTGGCTTACTCTTGCATGTTCCTAGCTCCTGCAACACATTTTAACTATAAAAAGAGGGCCAGTACTCTCTGATGTCACCCTCATCCATCCCACCTCCCTCCGACAGAATAGCAAACAGAAAAGAAAGAAAAATCCCCCACCACGCGTCCTTGGCGGACTCCCCCGCTCCTCACCGGGTCGCCTCGCCCTCTCGCCGCCGCTGTTCACCACCGAGCCTCTCGCGCCGCTGCCGGCACCTCCAGCGTGCGTGCCGTCCCACCCAGTCCTGGGCGAGCGCAGGCCACCCTGCGCCGCTTCTACCTGCTGCTGCCGCCCGTGCCGGCGACCGCCGGCTGTCCACGTTCGCCAGCGCGCTCAAGACTTCGCGTGAGAGCCCGCCCCAGCAGCGCTTAGCCCGGCGGGCGGCAGCTCCTAGCGCCGCCTCCTACGCCTAAGCGCCCGCGACAAGATAAGGCGACTATGCCCCTAGTCGCGCGCGACGGCTTCGCCAATGACTAGTGCGCGTAGTCGCCGAGTAGTCGCCGCCTAGCCGAACTTTGAAGAAGACTATAAAGATGAATATAATTGGCTGGAAGGAACACTAAGACACGTAACCGATAACCAGCTGGGTTGCGTTCCAGCTCAGTTCTAGTGGAATCTTGGTTGGCCTAAAGGGCAACTTTATTTGATGTTCTAAAATAGAAGGTGTTTTTTTTTCTTTTTGGTTTGATGTCATGGGGTTTCAATAAGTAGCATAGCTTCATCTTTCTGAAATGCCCTTATGGACTTAACTCATTAGATGTATGATATACTTTACAAGAATCAATCTCTTTGTCCTTTGTTTAAAAAGATTTAAGGGGTGGATTATATGAAACAGAATAACAGATTAGTAGGGGGCATGTGAGAATCTTGATTTTTTCTTAATAGTGCACAAATTTAAAACACAAATACAAAAAAGAAAAGGGAACCAAAGTATAGATATAATTTTTTAACACACTGTACTTTTCCTCCTAAGAGCCCATGATCCGGATTATTTGTGAGCGGGATGATTCCTGTTTCAGGTCTCACAGCTGTCTAGTGTGTCTCTGAAGGGGTTGCAACCATCATGCCGAGTAGCTGCCCCAGCTCCAGCAGAGTTAGCAGACCAACGCCCCCTTTCACCCACCCCACAATAAGGGATATGAATCGGGTACAAGTTCAATATGCTAAATTTTCGAAATAGGGCAATATTCATAATTCTAAAAAAAATAGTGTGATATTTTGAGATCTTTAAATAACTCATGATGAACTACTAGATAGTGAAACTAAAGGCACGGAGAAAGCAAAAGGAGAAGTAAAGCCTATAGGCTTATTTAATTAGCCTGTCCTAAACACCATGCTTGTATTTAAAAACACCGAGGGAGGATATCATGGGCATATTGGTGAGACATAAATGGGTGTGTTACATGCACATAAATATAAATATATTCCATCTACAAGAAATTGCCACGACAGTCAGGTGTTTACCAGTCCATTTAATGCTTATTAAGGAAGCGAGAAGAATCGGGTGCCACTTCAATCTGCTAAGATTTCTAAATAGGGTGATATTTAAGATCTTTAAATAACTCATGACGAACTGCTAGATTGCAGTGGAACTAAATGCAGGGAGAAAGCAAAACAAGAAGTACCAAGGCCTAGAAGTTGACCACAGATATGTCAGGCCTCACTCTGGTCGCTGCCCCCATTTGAACACTATCCATTGCTTCTAGTTTCTACCATCAGCCCCTTTTTCTTGATTAAATATATGATATAACATTAGACTACAATGCAATATACTGCAACACCTTGGTGGACCCTCGTTTCCCACATGCCAAAGTTATAATTTTAGATGGGAGCATTCATATAATTTCTCATCAAGCAGTGAGGCTGTTTGCCCTCTTTATATTCATAATAATGGTATGGAAAGAACATGTTTTGTCATGTTCACTACAGCATATACAATATAGGCTACCTCACGATGGCAAATAGAAGATTTCCCCTAATCAAAAAAAAACAAAACTATAAGTGAAAGTAAACCTTGTCGTATTTCCCATCTTATTTATATTGATTATTTTCTTCTGATGTATTAAGAGAGCTCAGCAGATAACTTCCACATTTTAAGCAACACATAATAGTCCATAACTAAGAGACTCTGCAGTTTAGAAAATACATTTTCTAGTTGGTACAGAAAACATAATATACCGTTATTCATTTACACCATTCTACTATATAGAAATCATCAAAATGGAGCTTTAGACCTGGATATGACCCATGGAAGGAAGAAAAAAAAAATATAACAGGATATACTGCAAGGGAGTTGAAAAGGTTAGAGTCCTTTGGAATATTCATGAATAACAACAATATCTTGAAGAACATAAGGTAATACACAAATTCATCAGAATTTTGTTATGTTCAGAGCTTTACGTTGAACGAATTGGTTGTACTGAATGGAGAGCAAATGGTCTAAGTACATTTTTCTAAGCGGACAACATTTTGTATGATAGATTACAGGTCTTCTGATCTTAAAATTGCATCAATCATGTCCTTTGCTCCACTTCTAGCTGTCTTAACAAATTTCGTAGCAGCGTACATTGTGTCAGTGAGCTACTAATAATTTTGTCCATATTTGCAATATTTCAGGTATTGGAATTTGCAAGGTGTTCTTTTTACTCATTCCAATTGCAATCTCATGCAGTGCGTGTAATCATCTATTTTGATGTTGCTAGCGCCAGAATCCCAATTGTCACTTCAGAGTTCAGACGAGAGAAAAAAAAATATCAAGCTAAGTGTCGGGCAGGCAGGAACATCATACTCACCAATCGCGCACAGTGCAGCAGAGCCTGGGCAACCCCCGGAGCTCTGGTGGTGAGGCCCCAATGGTCCCGGCAGTAGCGCACGCCCTCCCAGACGGCGAGGCTGGCCAGCATCCCCAGCAGCGCCATCGGCATCCGGTAACTGCCCACACAAATCATCATTCATCAAGGTAGCTGCTTCGAAAATCAAAGAAAGTGAAGAAATGAGATGGGATACAATACTAAATACATACAGGCAGCACGCGAAGACGAGGATGGTGAGCGCGGCGTAGTTGCGCGCGTACCGGCGGACGTTCTCCTGGACGCGGAGCCTGGCCTGGGTCGGCGTGGGCGGCCAGGAGTAGGACGCGGCGCCGGGGGGCCCGACGAAGGCGAGCGACCAGGACGGGGTGGGCGCGGCCAGGTCAGCGGTGGAGAGGCGCGCGAAGGGGTTGAGCGCGAGGAGCGAGGCGAGGGTGCGCGCGAAGGCGAGGACGTCGGCCGCGACGCCGGAGGAGGCCGGGCCAGCGACGGGACTGGCGGCGGCGGAGGCAGACGTGGAGGGGGCCGAGGCTGACGAGGGCCCTCCGGTGGTGGAGTCGAGTAGGTCAAGGTAGCCGCTGTCCCGGAGCCAGCGGTCGAGCGCGGGGTCCGGCACGCTCAGCGACAGCGGGTTCGGCTTGAACGACGACGAGGCCGCCATTGGAATGGAATGGATTTGCCGCCGCGATACCTCACCAGAGGATTAGCATGTCCCTCTGCGTGTGGGCCCAGGAGAGTCCCCACTCCCCAGTGGCCCAGTTCGCAGCCAAACCAGCTGAGTGTGAGCAGTTGCTGGCCAAACACAGTTAGAGCACCTTTTAGAAAACAGAAATTTTACGTGAATTGCACAGAAATTTCACAACAATCAGTTACAATTCCAAAGGGGGTGTTTAAAATACCCATGGCTTCTTAAGTTTATTCAAATGAAATTTCTAAAAAAACATAGGAGAAATAGTACAAAAATATGGCAGCGGGTATTTCATATATTCTCCTACAAATCCATCAATGGGGTCACATACTCACATACAAGTTATTTACACAGAAACGTTTGCATGCTTAGCCAAGTTTCTGTTTTCCTATGAACTTATGAAGTGCTAGTACAACTGCTTTCAAACTGATATCTTTTTTTTTATATAATCTCAAACTGATATCTTTATGAAAACGACGACATGGAGCAGCAAAACATACAGTACAATTGCAGACCTAAGGATCATCAGCCGGTTCTGGCCTTCTGTTCTAACGCCAGTCTGGTACGGTCTTCGACCCCCTTTAGGGTCATAATAACAATCTTCTGGGCCGCTCAAGAGGCCTCTGTTGAGGCGGCTCCGGGGTGCGCCAGTTTCATTGGTACTGCTGTAGAGGTTTCTATGCAGATGGTTCAGCCGTTCCAGCTCCTTTTCTTTGGAATGTACCTCAGTGGCCAGGATTTCAGCTTGAGCCTACATGAGAGCAAGAGACAGAATTAAGTTTGAGAAGGTAGGAGCTGCTACCCTTCACACAAGACGCAAAGGCCAAGGATATAGAACGGACTTGCTTAGCTGTCAACTGCTCGATGAGGCTATGTAGTTGTCTCTCCAGGACCTTCTCTCTTTGTGCTGCATGTGTAACAGAAAGGACCGCTAAAATTCATAGATTCACATAACAGAAGAAACAAATATGCAGCAGGCATAATTGTGCTAAGGTGTAGGATAATTGCTTTCCCTATTTATACCTTGGCAGAGCATCACAAAATTTCTTAGAGGAGCTTTATGAATTAGAGAGAACTAACTTTGTTAAAGTTCCAAAATGAGAAACAATTTGCTATCACAAATTCACAACACCATCTATTCATTGCCACTTAACAAGGAACTGGTCACTTATGGTACCACCACCACCACTCATTCAGATAAGACAGTTGGCCACCGCAAAATAGTGTCATAGAAGGCAAAATTCCGTAATTCTAGGGTGGAGAGATCTTACTCCCTCCAAACATGAAAACCCAAATTCAACAATCGGAGTAATATTACTCTTAGAAACATGAGGTGTAGCCATGTAGGACATGAACATCCTGGATGCCCAATTAATGATGGTTTACTTTGAACCAATATGATTTCTAACAGGGTAATTTCAAGAGAAATGCCTACTTCTTCTATGCCTTCAAGACTGAGAATTTAAAAAGAAAACTTCTCCCTACCAAGTTAACCAATAGAAATTGAGTGCTGAGTGCTCTAAGTAAGCAATGATCTACTAGTACACATAGCAGCAAGGCTCAAACAAATATAATCATTCTGTGTTCTTCCAAGATTCAGAATATACTGTATCTCTTAGCAGTTGGCTTTTTTAAATAAGGCTTTAGCAATTAAAGAGATGACCAATAAAAAAATTTGCTAAACCGACTCATAAAAAAGTTAAATCTGTGATTAGAAAAGCATTTCATATGATGCAAAACATTGGAATTATTTATGTTATATTACTCATGGTTTGGCGTCTTTTCTCGTTCACACGAAACACAAATATAACTGGCATTACTCGCATAGGCACTTTTGGCCCCTTCACAATCACATGTTGCCAAAAAAAAAAGAATAAGCATGGGGAATCCAACATGTAATCAATGAAAATATTGACATGCGGAAAAGTATAAAGTACCAGGAGTGGGTTTCTTTAAAGATTCTTCTTCAACCACAGACCACTCTTTCTCTAATGTTTGCACCTTGTTATCCAATAGTTCCTGTGAGGTGAGAATAATTATAAAAAAAAGACTCTGACGTCGCATTCAAAACACAGAACATAAGAAGAGTCCAAAGAATAACATACCAGCTCCCTTTTCTTGTCCTCCAAATCTTTAGATTTAAGATTGATTGCTGATTTAGCTTCCAGTAGAGCATCTTCAGTTGTTCCAGAGGCTGCTGTTGATGCTTTATGTTGAGCAGCCTCTTGCTCCTTCAGAGCATTTTCAAGCTGTGTCTTTAAATTATGCTCTGTTACTTCCATTTCCTGAAAATTTAACATATTCTATTAAAGTGATGTGTGGGGCGGCCCTATGCTTTGCATGGAAAAAACTATATGCAGAAAGGCAAACATAAATAGCATTTCAAAGGATACCATTCAAGTGAAGAGTACGAGTTAATGAACATCACACATACATGGCTCAAGCATTAGAAAGCTCCACACAAGCTGATTGTGACTTCCTGATACTCATTATAGAACAGGACAACATGGATTCCTCGTAAATGAGTTTAAACTTTAAAGTAATTCCTTACTGATGCAGAGTCAAACTCACAATTTTGTTTTAGGGTATTCATGGCCTCTGCCTCAATGTTCAGACAAATTTATCATTCTTTCAACATTATGATGCAGTTTTGCAAACAGAAACAATAACAATATCACCATGGTTTACCTATCAGAATCGGTCAACAACCTTCAACGTAAATCTTTTTCACCATTAACAAACCACATGATTGAGGAGATATCTAGTAACCTAGTTCTTTCATATTTTAGTGTACTTCTTGTCCACGGTATCTTACATATGCTTAGAGAGTACTAACCTCACAATAGGAAAAACTGATGACAGTTACTCCCTCTGTCCCAAAATAGAAGTCGTTACAGAAAATGCGTGCAACATTTATATCTTCAAATAAGTTTATTATGAAAGTATATTCAACGATCTACCTAATGATACTAATTATGTATTACAAATATTAATATTTTATATATATATTTGGTCAAAGTTAAAAGTGTTTGACTTCTCGAGAAGTGAGAATGACATATATTTTGAGACGGAGGGAGTAAGTAACATGAAAAAAAACATGTAATATGCATCATGTGCTTAGTAACACCTGCTTTAGAAGAGTATTAGATAGTGGATAATGACATAAGGTTAAAACGGGGTTGTTAAAAGGTATGGTGGTGTACCTCCAGATTACTCTGAAGCTGACTGGCCTCCATCTGCTTTTCCTGAATTTTCTGTTTACACTCTGATATAGCTTTCTCATAGGCTGCATTTTCTTCTTGGAGAGTTACTTCTCTTTGCTGGGTCTACAGAAAGTTTACAGGATCTGTTATAGAAATCTGCAGAGGAACAAACGCCCAAGTATCCAAGTGCGAAAAGAAACCAACTGTAAGTTTCAAGTAATCAAATGCGCAATATAGTTGAACTGCAACAATCCTTGTGGTAAATGCACCAATAGTTCACTTGTTATATCAGCTGATTGATTTAGAAAATTTACCAATTTGAAGATTGTTGAGAAGTACAAATGTCCATATGCAACTAGTGTCCCTAGAGAATTCACACCCTAATAAATATTGCCATCTCCCATTCAAAAGGATGGACATACAAACATCATACCTAACTAGATCCAGATCCATAAACTAAGCTTAGCCAGATCAAATGGGGCTGCTACAACTTAGTTTCAATACTGCTATTCTCCCATTAACGATTATTATCAGGATGACTTGTCGTGCTAAAGGGCATCAAAACGTCCAAGAGGAGGAACACAAAGAAAAGGAGCTTAAGCAAAGGGTTGTGCACCTGCTCCTTGGTGGAGGAGTGCGCGTTGAGCTGGAGCGCGAGCGCGGCGGAGGACGCGAGGGAGTGGGCGTGGAGGTGGGGCAGGCGCTGCGCGACGTGCGGCGGGGGCACCCGGAGGCGTAGGTCCTGGATGGCGCGGCGCAGCGAGGCCGCCCGCGCGTCCAGGTCGGCGGCGCGGAGCCGCTGGGCCGGGGTCATGGCGGCCGACGCCGCGGCGCGCGCGTCGTCGTCGGCCTCGTCGTCGCTGCTGCCGGCCCCGCCGACCACGTCGGCCGCCCACGCCAGGATCCCCGCCATGGGGGACGACCGGTCCTCCCTCAGGCGGGAGAGAGCAGCTCGGGATTTCGACGAGCAAGCGAACGCGGATTCGGTTAGCGCCGCCGAGGAAGGTTGCTGCAGATTGCAACTAAGATGTGAATGTGATGAGGGCGTATGCAATGGTGGTTGATGGCTCTAGTTTCCCCCCCTCGAGAGATCAGAGACTAGGGATTTTAGAAAGGGAACAGAATGTTTGGAACGTAAGCGAACAATTCGTGAAGAGAGGGGGAGAGATCGGCAGGGAGAATAATAGGGAGGAGAGGAAGTCACCTCACAGGCTCGCCGTCGCCGGCAGCAACTACCGGCGTCAGCGTGGAGGGCGTGGCGCTGCCGTGCGTGCCCGCCGGCGCGTGCAGCGACCGATGCGGCCGGCTAGTGGGCTACCGGGCTCCTAGCTAGGCCAGGAAGCGAGCGGGCGATCGTGAGGAATGCGTCGGCATATTGGGCTGGGCCGTATCCAGCTTTGGACAAGGCCTAAGGAAAGTGCGCCAGGCCCATTCCTGCCAGGGATATTCCATCCACGATTCGGGCGATTGTGATTCCCTCCAATCATTTCTTCTTCTCTCACCCCGCTCGAGAATTTTAATGCAACATCCACAACACTGGATCCACGTCGCAGTCAGTCCGTCAAAAATGTGGCATTTCGCGAGAAAATGAAGTGCAATCAACGGATCTGAAGTTCTGACTTTTGAGCTACTGCTCGAATCACAGCACAGAAGTCGGGGCGTCAACTCAACTCCTGCTGGCTTCTGCAACAACAAGAAGGCAGCAATAACGAAGGAATTTTCACAGTAATGGCACGGAAATTTTATAGAGATCAATTCAATTTTTACAGAAGAACCAAGAACATCAGAACAAATGTAGTAATCCAATCCTGCTTGATTCATTCAGTTGTAGATTTGATTTGCCTCACAACAGCCAAAGTCAACTCTAAGTTTACATGCCTCTGCACTGCAAAGACGACGCCGGCAGCAATGGCACCGCGGGATGCCGTGCCGTCGACGACGACCAAATGGAGCCATCCCGCCGCACTGCACGCTCTAGCTACTAGCCTACTACAAGGATCTATCTGTCCGCGCGGGCCCCGCGCACGGCGGCGAGCTCCGCGGCGAGCGCCTGGACCTGGGCCTGGTAGGCGCGCGCGAGCTCGAACGCCTCCACCTCGGCGTCGGCGAGCTGCGCGCACAGCCGCTCCTCGGCCTCCTCCGCCGTCTCGGCGCGCCGCCGCGCCGCGCCCAGCTCCAGCCGCAGCGCCGCCACCTCCCGCTCCAGCTCCGCGTTCCTCCGCCGCAGGAGCTCCGCCTCGTCCACGCCGGCGGCGCTCTTCTTGTTAACGCCCACCGACGAGGACGGCGCCGCGGTGCCGATGGATATGGACGGCGCCATTGAGATCGATTGGATTTGGATGGGATGGAGTCCGATCGGGCTGAAGGAGCGAGAGAGAGCTTGGCTTGCGGGAGGACGGGACAGGAGGTCGCAGCCGCCGCGCCCGCGCGTTGGTTGGTTTTTCGGTTGCTCTGCTGATGTGGCCTCGTGCTGGTGTATCTTGCTGCGAAGGGGCACGGGTTATTTATCGGTGGGGTGAGGGCCGGGAAGGCGTCCAGGTGCAGTGCACCGGGGGATGTGAGTGTGTGAGGACGGGAGCGCTGACGCGGGAGGCATCAGCAGTGACCCAATCGGCGGACGCTGACCTGTGAGGTGAGAAGCTTCGCGAGGCCGAACCGCCAGACAGCCGCCAAGGATGGCTCGTCGCCGCTCAGCGGTGGCTGTGGCGACGGGCGAGCAGCCGAGCACCACCTGTGGTTGAGCTTGAGCAGTGGATTCGGCAGCAGGCCGGCGTTCCGTCGCCGCTTCGGCCCCTTCGGCGCGCAAACGGTTTCGAAGATGCTCTGCCCACGGCCCCACGCCACAAGCTGCTCGACACCTCGCGCCAACCCTGTCGGTTTCCAATTTTGGGCGCGACATGCAATGGAGGTATAGTAAGTATGAAGCTGGTATCTACGCACGTTGTGGCATACTTCATTGTGGTATAGTGAGTGGTCAGTTAGGCTTGCCACGGGTGCCTAAAATTAGACGTGGCAAATTATGGTTAGCAAACCAAATATTTTCTAACTTTAGTTTAGTTTTGAGATCTAAAGCTATAATATGAGTGGGCTAAAGAGCTAACTTTGGACCACCTGTCCGGAGACTTTAGCTCTAAAGTTTAGAGGAGAACTAAACAAATGTTTATTAGATTAATGGTTGAATATATTTTCATAATTAACTTATTTGAAGATACAAATGTTGTTGTTATTTTTCTGCAAATCTAGTCAAATTTTAAAAAAGTTTGACCTGCACGTAACCTAAAATCGACACTTTTTTTGAAATAGAGTGAGTAATTATAATTTAATCAACACTTATTTTGGAATATAGTGAGTAGTTATAATTTTTACGATATATCTAGAAACATGGATGAGAGAGAATAGTCAATTCATACTTCTCTTTCTGTGCATCCATTCGTGGTCGATAAAAACATGATAGAAATTCTACATGTCACTCGAGTGTTCCAACACTCAATTCTTCTCTCTTCTCTTTCTCTCCCTCTCATCTTCTCCAAATTCAACGGTCTTAGCAGAATTTTTTGGGGAGGCAAGCAGGCTAGGTGGTGGGGACGAGAGAGATGGCGGCGAGGCGGAGGTGGCGGTGACACTGCCAGAGCGGGCAGAGGAGGAGGCAGCCAGGCCAAGTTGGGGCTGAGACGACCATGGCCATGACGCGCAAGCAGGGGAGGTGAATAAAAGTGGAGCTCCGACGAGATCCTAGCATGACGCGGCGGGACGATGGGGGGGTGGTGGCGGCGCATTGAGAGGAGGAAGAAGACGTGAAGAAAAAATCGAGTATCCTGGGCAGCAAAAACAATCAAGTGTTATGTAGACATACTTAAATGTAAATGTCATGTGCTGGTATGTCTCATAGAGATTTTGGCTTTGTACTCTCGCGCTCCACCGAAAAAAATGCAACTATAAGATTCGTACAAGTCAAACTAGTTTAATTTTGACTAAGTTTATGATGAGTAATATTAATATTTGTATCTTCAATTAGATTTACTATGAAAATATATTTTATGATTAATTTAATTATACTTATTTTATATCATAAATACCAATACTTATCTTAGTAAAACTTTAAATCATTTCACTTCTCAAACAACGAGAATTGTATTCGCGAAGGGATCCACAATTACCAATTGCGGACTTGATACAGGATACACAAAAATCGAACCTATGAGCTTAACACACTCCATTACATTTAACTTTTCCAAAGGGAGAAGGAAGAAATCAGCAGGAGCACATTTTCCTTTTGGACTCCAGTTTAACCCGAGCCATCGATCTAAAAATCCAACGGCCAGGAACGCGCGCGGTCGACCCATGGTGAATGGTGCGGGGAAGCGAGACGTGCACGTCGCACCGCCCCGTTATCGCCGTGCTGCTCTGCTCCGCTCCTCTTCGAGAGGCGCACGCCGCGCCACGGCGAGCCACTCCACTCCCACTCGGCACCGGCACGGCGGCGACATGCTCCCGCTCATCTCTCCTCAGCGCCCTGGTGCCGCGCGGCTCCGCGCCATCGCCAACGCAGGCGCCACTGCCTCCGCCACCGCCAGGCCGGCCGTCATCCTCCCAGTTGAGCCCTCTCCTTCCCCTTACCCCCATTCTTCCTCTTGCTTGCTCGCCCGTGTGCGTGACGCGCGGCGTGTGTCGTCGTAGTGGCGCAGGGGCTCGGGAACAACACGGGCGACTATGCGCGGCTCGCCGCGGGGCTGCGCGACGACCACGGCCTCCCCGCGGCCGTCGTGGCGCGGGTCACACGCCCCGACTGGCTCCGCAACGCCGCGGGCCTCGCCGACGCCAGCTACTGGCGGGGCACCCTCCGCCCGCGCCCCGTGCTCGACTGGTGAGTGCTGACCCCTCCCCCCCTTCCTCGCCGGCGCCGTGGTGCTCCGCCAGGGTCAGTCAGCGTCGTGACCGGCGTTTCACCAAACACCTTGCCTGCATTGCGCTGCAGGTACCTGAAGAGGGTGGATGACGCGGTGTCTGAGGCGAGGGAGCAATGCGCACCAGGTTTGTCTTGCACTCCCCCAGTCCTAGAACAAATCTAGAAATGCTAACGTTCCATTGGTGGTTAATGAGCAATTAATTACTTGCGATTGCAAGAAAGCAAATTAGTTTGTGATGTGTTCATGTCTATCTGGATGAAGGTTTTGGTATATAGGATACTAGAAGTATACCCCGCGCGTTGCCGCAGGATCTTCTTAAAAATAAATCTGTTATATACATAACATTACTATAGGTATTCTGTACAATGTGTATACATCTATATGAATTTGACTTGCATGTTATTTTATTGTATCAGATTTAGTAAAAAATTGGCAAGCTAATTGAAGAAAAAACAATAAAATATTTGATTGCATTATAGAGGGATGGGTGATGAAACAAATAGCGTATGTAGATGACTTGTATGTTAATAGATTAAAGATTTAAAGTATTTCACATGATAGAGATGACATGGATATTTTTTTTAATTAATAAGGGATGACATGGACTTAGTGGAGAATGATGTGGACACCTTGCATGATGAGATAGAACATTTAGTGATGTCACTTAGTGGGGAATGATGTGGACACCTTGCATGAAGAGAGAAATCATCTAATGGGGTTTAACTTTATAAGAGTTATAGATGCCGTTGAACAGTCGAAGGCCATACATTACCTACTGAAATTTACTTGCTAACAATGCAAGTGCTAAGCTGTTGAACAACATGAAATTAAGAAGATTATACCCTTTGCTACTTGCAGGTGGGAAGATATCATTGATAGGGCATTCAGCTGGGGGCTGGCTCGCGCGCGTGTACATGGCGGAGTTTGATGCTTCCGACATAAGTTTACTGCTCACCCTTGGCACTCCTCACTTGTATGGTTTCTTTTCACACGCTTGTTGTGTGCTTGTACTTACAGTCTGATGGTGGTCATCCTTTCCTTTTCCTCAATCATGTTTGAAGTGAACTAGTCTATGATTAATGGCTTAATGTTTATGCTGGTGTTTCTTCTAAAAAAATGGGTGTGGTTCTTATCTTGTGCATAGGAAACTGAAGAAAGTTGACTTTACTACTCCCTGTTTGTACCATTGGTAGACAGTATGCTAGGTTAAAGATCGCCCAACCATCTTTCTCCCATTTATACCTCTGCAGCTATACACAATCTAGCTGTAAATGAAACTGTTGAATGTTAGTAACTCCTGCAAGGCTAGAATTGCCACTCGATATCATGTTAGAAATATTGAAAAGCATAGTTTCGAAATCAAATGCAGAACGTACCTTTGTTTTATTTGAGTTTGACCTCTTTCGCCTTAATTTTCTCTAATCATTAGGCCTCCTCCAAAAGGTGTACCTGGGGTAATTGATCAGACTAGAGGACTACTGAACTACGTCGAGAAGAATTGTGCTCCAGCAGTTTATACGCCAGAATTAAGATATGTGTGCATTGCTGGAAGGTACCTTTCTTCAGGCTAGGATTTCAGGATCTTGCTGCTTCCACATTGATTCACTATTAAACTTTTTTTGGTTTGGATTACATTGTTACCCTGAGGATGCATAACTGCTGAAGCAAACCTAGTATTATGTTCGGGAATGCTGGTGTTATCAGTGTTAACTTCATCAAAGAAAGATAATTTAAGTCAAGCTGGCTGATTTTTAGGTTGGCTAAACTTGTCAATTCTTCCTGAAGTTTAGTCCCCATAGAATATACATTTTTCTGATTTTGATGTTTGAATAAATGAGATAGGTGCAGTGGTGTTATCTGTGTTAACTTCATCAAAGAAAGAGGATTTTAAAAGTCAAGCTAGCAGATTTTTTTGGTTGGCTAAACTTGTCAATTCGTCCTTAAGTTTAGTCCCCATAGAACATACATTTTTCTGATTTTGATGTTTTAACAAATGAGATAGGTGCATATTTCAGCATGTCCTTGTCTTATGACCACATACGTTCATGTGTCATACCATCTCTTTATTGTATCGAAGGTACATTCAAGGTGCTCCTCTTCTGGGGAACTCCGCAGCTGCTTCCGATGAGATCCTTGCAGTTGACACCCCTTCAGAAGGAGGTGAGGCTGTTATTATGAGTAGCAATGACAAATCTACTCCGTCAAGTGTCACGTGGAGAGCCCGGTTCGTCGGGCAAGGGTACAAACAGGTAAAACTGTAAAACACTTCATTTCTGAGGGGAGGGAGGATTTTATGGTTCAGCTAAGATAATTTGCGAATCAATTGCGAAACAAAACCATTTGACATCAAATTCACAACTAGGTTTGCGGCCGAGCGGATGTGTGGGGTGACGGCGTTGTTCCTGAAATGGCAGCGCATCTGGAAGGAGCACTGAACATAAGCTTTGACGGCGTGTACCATTCTCCTGTAGGCTCTGATGATGAACAAAGGCCCTGGTATGGCTCTCCGGCAATCCTCAAGCAGTGGGTGCATCACCTTCTCACCTGAGATGGCATACAAGAGCTAGCTGCCAGAACAGAAACTGGAATGTGTCCTACATCTGGCATGCCACCAGGCCCACCAAAGGGGAACTTTTTCTCGGCCTAAAATTGAGGGGCATGATATATAGCATAGTAAATCCTGAAGGGGGCAATTGTGTGTTGTCAGCTTCTGTAGACAATTTAACCTGGGGGCAATTGTGTGTTGTCAGCTTCTGTAGATATTTTAACCTGAGGTCATTTTGTCCAGAATAATTGGACATGGTATATTTCACTCCTTTGTCAACGCATCAGATAACTAGAATTTCTTACTGTATGTATAGCGTATTGCATTCTTATTGTATGTATAGCGTGCGTATTGCATCGGTCTATGTATTGAGGATACTTCAATTCCTCTGTTAACCAAAAGCTCTCACAAGATCAAAGAATATTTTGTAAGCAACAGAACTATAACTCGCAGAGTCAATATAGTCATCTGCAGCTTGTTTGTTTATCCAGGCATCCAGCGATGACAACAAGTGCCAGCGAAGCAACAGAGCACACCGGCGTAAACAAGCATATAACAGGCTGCAAACTGAGTAGAACTCTAAAGAACGCAATGCCACGCATGGGAACATAACGCTAGATCACGAATCAAAGATAGGGGTGAACGTGGACTTAGAAGATTTGCCATTAGCAGACTAAACATTTCCCACATCAATGTGCAGGCTGGTGCCCTCGCAGAATAGCAAGAGCAACGGAAACACTGGGAATCCTTTTTACATGCATCACACCCCAAACCCAACTGCTGAACAAAGTCTGAAGTCTTAATGCCATCACACGATTTCGGCTTAACTAGTGGGACCTGGACTTAACATGGATCACAAAAGAGGCCATCCAAATAAAGTCGTAGACTAAAGCGCTATCGCTGGCTCCATGGACTGCTTGCTAGTTCTTCAGGAAATGAGGGCCCAGTAGCTTCGAGATCTCCATCATCCCGATCCTGTCCCTCCCACCAAACAAGCTTTTGAGTGTCGCATCACAGTTGATCTCGCTTTTCTTGGCTGGGTCCTGCAAACCATGAAGAGTTTTTCATTAGTTCAGGGCAAAAAAGTGTTTGATGCAGACAACTATAGTACCTTGGTATAACAAGGCAGCTAGTGTAAGCAAGTTACAGAGTGCACAAACTAACAAAGAAGCAAGGAGGCTAACAGGCCATACTAATTTATTTTTCTGTGGCAAGTAGAAGTAACACAGAGGAATTGCTATAAAAGTGCTTCATCAATACACAAACACAGGTCATTAGTCCAATCTTGCCTTCAAGATCATATATCACAACAACAAAGTACAATATTAAGTCAAATAAGTATCTACAGCTTACTTTAGAAAGGCGCATCTGAACATACAAAATACATTATACCTGTCAAATAATAATATGCTGCAATTAGATAATTCTGATCTCAGAACACACCTCCACAATGCACTCAAACTTGAGTGTCCAGATATTAATAAAAATGTGACTCTGTTTCTTAAAACTTTTCAGGTAATAGATCCACTGAAGAGTTGGAAGAGAACACCACCAAAAAATCAACAGCAGCACACCACGGTTTGTTATTTGTCAAAGCACACACAAATACTACACCTCAACAAATCACGAGACGTAGTAACGAAGTTTGAACTGATTGTACCAAAGGACACCATATGAATCATGAACTGTAATTAACTATTCACCAGTCACCAAGAACACAAACCAGAGAACTGACTAGCTGAGATCACCAACGCTTCTGACCTACTACTAGAAAGGATGTCCTGAACTTTTTAGGGTTGCCGCAACACACTAGGATAAAAAAAAAAGCAAAAACGGGGTACAGGAACAGGATGGCGACCACCTTTGTCAAATACGTCATCACTAGGAGCACTGGACTTCCCTTTCCAAAACTCAAAACCCCAACCTTGCCAATAGATTCGGTAGCAGGGGCGAAACCCTAACCTAACCCCACCGAAATGGATTTCCTCACCCCCCCCACAAAAAAAAATCACAATCCATCCAACTATATAATACAACGAAACTACATTAGTTTCTAGCACATCACGAAACGACAGATTAAACGACAGAGTCAAAAGCGAGAGGCTCTAGAACCGACCGACAGGGACAGGAGGGGCGAGAGGATGGTGAGAGCGACGCGCTACCTGGAGCCCGTGGGCCTTGATGTGGGCCCAGATGAGCTTGACGGCCTCGGAGCGTGCAACCTCGGGCGCGCCGCCGGCGAACCTGCGGAACTCTTCGGAGACGGGCAGCGGCTTCGTGATCCCGGTCGGCGCCATCGGCTTCGTGGACGCCGCCTTGGTCCGCTTCTTGGTCGCCGCCGCCGCCGCGCCTGCCTTCTTGGCCCCCGCCGCCGTGCCCGCCGCGCCCGCCGCTGGGGACATCAGGAAGAGAGACCCGCGGAAAACCCTAGCTACCGCCGCCATCTCCGTGGGGGTTCTCCTCGCACGCGCGCTCGTTTCGAGGATTGGATGGAGGGGAGCGAGGCGAGGAAGGTTTTGGGGAGGTTTAGGGTTACGGATTAGAGCGGCCTCCCCCGGCTAACCAACCCTTTTTGTATTTGGGGAGAGTGGAGAACAAGGAAGAGGAACGAAGGAAAACTAAGGTTTTTACATCTAGGACCTTGTGCTTGTTTGGATTTAGCACCAATTTCTTTCTGCAGGTGGGTCCCTCCACTCCAAATGGTGGATTGGTCATTGGTGTGGTGGTACGAGCAACGGCAAAGCACTCAGCAGCGGCAAATTAGGAGGTTTTTATGGAATTTATTATCACGCGAGTTTGAACAAATATCCCACTTTTCCAACACAAACATAAAATGTGGGTACTCACTTCGGGCCTGTTTTGAAGAGCTCCAAAACTTTGAAGCTACAGCTATGTGCAGATTGAGGCTCATTGGTCAAGTTAATCTTTTTCTTAATTTCAAATGAACTAATTTCCTATGAAAATGGACTAATTTAGGCACCCTTTTGGTTGTTTCCATTTTTCCTTAAAGATGAACTAATTTCTTAAACTTCCAGGGAAATTTCAAATTTCTTTGAAACTGTGGGGCATGACCCCCGGTGCCCGCAAGGCTTCACATGGGCCGAGCCGCTAGGGGATGCCCAGTCCACAAGACTATGCACGGGTCTCGCCACTGGTCGAGACCCAGCTCGCAAGACAACGCCACGCGAAGTACGCCGCAGGACGACGTGCTTCACAGGGCAACGTAAAGATCCTCGGTGATCTACAAAATCTATTCGGATATAATAGATATTGTACGATTTGTAACTTCCTATCGATCAGAATGGAAATATCCGATCTATAATCCTACCCCCAAGCTATATAAGGCGAGTAGGGACCCCCTCGTTTTCATCTAATCATATAAAATACAATACATGAAGACAAGAACGTAGGGTATTACGTCGAGCTGACGGCCTGAACCTGTCTAAATCGTTGTCACTTGCTTTCTGTGTCACCATCCAGTTCCCTCATGCGCACCTCTACCGATTCATCTACTACCGTGGGCATGCCCCTCGGTAGACTGCTGGCCAGATTTCATCGACAGTGGCCCGCCAGGTAGGGGGTGCACGTGCTGAACCCATGGTGAACCAGATGGTCACCTTCCCAAGCTCCATGGCCCCCTCGAGCCGGGCCAGATCTTCATGGTCGGATCCATGACCTGGGTCATCGGCCCCGACGGCAATGGGGAGATCGTGGAGGCGGTGCAGGACCACCCTGCGCCGATCACGCTGACACCAGCAATGATATCTCCGGTCCTGGCGCCACGTCGCTGGATTAGGAGATCCATCAACAACGATGACCTGATCGCATCCATCGATCGGGTCACAGATCGCCTAACAGAATACCAGCTCCTCGTGGATTCGGTCCTAGATCGATCTAGAGCGAGCCACGATTTTCCTACGCTCCAAGATCACCAAGCCACTATGACCAAGTGACCCGCTAGGCCACACCGCGCAAGGCGAATAAATTCTGATCTGGTGATCACGGTTACTCGAGAAGGGCGCACGGTGTGGCGCCAGCCACTTCCCGCCACCGGCCTTCGCTTGGATGACTATGACACCTTGATGGAGAACCCGCCGAGGCCCTACCCCTTTGGGCTGGAGGGTGCAGGATCTGCATATTAGAACGCCGTCCACCACCTCTTCGCCAACCATGTCGAACGCAATCACGTCACCGACCTCTACGTGATCGACCCAACTGACTCTGGTCAGCTCACGCCCATGGTCAACATGGTGGCCATTCGTCAGCTTTTGGAGGATTCACCTCTTCCGACCGAATCTCTTCACCACGTCTTGGATGAAAGCCCCAATGATTCTTCTAAGGGCTCGACCAGGACCCTATCAAGCTGCCCTACTTTCCCTCCAGGGTTTAGGGGCATGATTTTCCACATCAGTCATGATAGTGTTACCAAGGAGGGTGAAACCGTTGAAGAGCACGACACTCGTCTAGTGAAGAACGCCGATCACCAACGTCGTCGAGACACAGAAGCAACCCCTAAGGCCGGAGAAGATGGCCATGGCCTACCCTGCCATCAATGTAATCTAGAAAAGGCATTTGACATGGTTGGCGACCAGCCAGTCTATCAGACTCCAAGCGCCAATCTCGCTGTCGCTTTCAACGAGCTCGACAAACTCCCTCACACTCTAGAGGTCGAGAAGGTCCATGCGCACATCATAGCTGTACAAGTCCAGGTCAATGAGTTCCGGAACAACGCGCCATCTTACTCCACCACGTCAGCTCATAGCCGTCGCTCCTGCCTCGACGGAGGAGGCCAACATCATGGTGCTGACGCTCCCCGACCTTAGGCTGGAGGCCCCTACCTCCATAGAGGATCCAGGGGCAACTATGAAGCCTATTCACGCCATGACGCCCGCCCACCATGTCCCTAGGGAGGTCAGGGCAGCAACCGCAACCAGGAGGTCAATCAACCCACCCCTCATGACCTTCGCGATCACCTTAACGCAGTGCAGATGCCTGTGGCCACA